ATCTAATCTTAACTTGGAAGGTGCAGTGCTTAACTTGGTGCAGTGGTTAGAATGCAGGACTGCAGGCTACTTCTGCTGACTGGGTCCCCAACTTCTGGAGGCAGGTTGTTCCACTGGTTAATTGTTCCAACAGTCAGGACAGTTCTCCTTAGTTCTACACTGCTTCTCTCCTTGATATGTTTCCATTCATTATTTTTTCTCCTGCCCTCAGGTGCTTTGGAGAACAGGGTGATCCCCTCCGATATTGGAAGGCTGCTGTCTCATTCCTAGTCCCTCTCTTTTGTTCAGCTATACACAGTTCCCACAAATGTTCATCGTACATTTGAGCCTCCAGCCCCTAATCCTCTTTGTTGTTCTTCTCTGTACTTTTCCCTACTGTCCCAACATCTGGATATAGTATTCCAAGTGTAGTCTTACCAAAGCGGTACTAATACTTCATGTGATTTTGATACTATTCCTCTGTTGATGCATTTGATGATGTAGGATTGCAGTGGCTTTTTGGCCAGCTGCAGCACATTGCTGGCTCATATTTAAGTGGTTGTCCACTAGGGTTCTCACAGTTACTGCTGTTGAGCCAGATACCATATAGGGTCTCCTGCCTGAGCAGGGGGTTGGACTAGAAGACTTCCAAGGTCCCTTCCAACTCTTGTTATTCTATGTTATAATTATGCAGACAAGCTGCCAAAGTTGAGAAACACTGCTTACGCTAGCAGCACTTCTAGGCAGTTTTCATTTTAAAGTTGCTTTTGTTGTGTGAACCCAGCCTGGACAAGGTTGATACAATAGGGAAGACCCCAAGAGCTTGATGGGGTTGGGGGTCCCTGAAGAACTCTTCTGTTGGCCTTATGAGAAAAGAAGAGGGTGGGGCTTCACTCACTGGGCAGCTGTTTCCTGAGCTGGGCATCCTCTGTCCACGCTGGCCGAGACGGAGACTGAGCGTCAACAGAATACTCTCAAAATCCCCAGTGTGTTCCTTGCTGGTCTGAACTTGAAGCACAATTTCTCAGATCTCCGAACTTGCTTGCCTTAGAATCTCAGAATCCGAGGCAAAGGATTAGTCCTGCAGCTGTCTCCCCGCAAGCACTCTCCTTGGACTGCAGCTCTGCTTCCTGGAGCCGGAGGCAAAATCTCCCCCTCCTGCTGATTTTCCCTTTTGAATTTTTCTGCCTTGGATAGCTGAGCCTTCAAGCGGTATTCCACTGCCTACAGTTCCAGGAATTAATTCCAATTTGTAAAGAAATGAACAACAAAACCTTTATTGAATCTTTATGAGGGATTGTCACTGGCTGTTCTTCTGGGACTAGTTCCAGGTGTCTTCCTACTCCTAGGTTTGAAATGTCTCGGGGCCAAAGCAGACGAAGGAAGGAACGTCAACCTTCATATCCATTTTCCTTGATATTAATTTAAGGCTGACTTCTGAACCTGGCTTGAGGTATCTCTTGGGTCCTATTTGACAGAGATTTCTCTTCTAGCTGCAGCCACCGATTTTTAATACATGCCAGCGATGTAGATAGAAAGTTTTCTTTCTTTCTTTTTTCCCCCTCGAGTGGCCACTGCTTTTGGCTTTGTTTGAGGATTGGTTTTATTACTTTATTAGAATATGTACCTGCAAGGGCAGCAGCTTTAGCCATCGGGTTGAACCCATCCAGTTTCTGCCTGGGTGCAAAGCTTTCCTCCCCTGCTTGATTTCCCCCTCCCTCCCTCTCCCTCCCTCATTAAATTCTGTCCATCTACCAGCTGTGGACTGCTGTGTGCCCTCCAGCCAGACTTCTTTAATCTGGCATCGCATTAGGGTTTTGTCTATGCAGCCCTCGGGGTGCAAGCAGACTTTCTCCTGGCTCATAAATCCAACCAAGCTATTACAACAACAAGCACAGTCAAAACCTCTTCATTCATGTTCAGGACCTTCCCTCCAGAACTTGGACGAGGTTCTGATCCTTTCCCAGGGTTCCTCAAAATCCTGGGACGCCCCTGTTCAGGGTTCGGAGGCAAAGTTTTGCTCCTGGTTTAACGCAACCAGCCACGGTGAAGAGAGAACGTGGCTGTGAAAGGGCCGGGTCCATGTTTCTTTTCAGTCCTTTTTCCTCAGTCTAATTCCATGACGTACAGGCAGTCCTCGACTTAACAACAGTTCATTTAGTGACTGTTTGAAGTTACAACGGCACCCTAAAAAGTGACTGATGATCAGTTTTCACTCTTAACAACCATTGCAGTTTCCCCCTGGTCGGATGATCAAAATTCAGATTATTGGCAGTGATTCACAACTGCAACTTAACTGTGGCAAGAAATGCAAAACCCACTTAACAAACGTTTCACTTAGGAACAGAAAATTTGGGCTCAATTGTGGCCGTAAGTCAAGGACTCTGTTTGCTATTTAGAGGAGAAAAGAGTTGCCACACACAAGCCTAGCAAGTCATAAAATTCCCTTTTATCAGAATGTAAAGTGTTGAGCCTGTTCCTGATCATTCTCTACCTCCCTTGACTTCAGACTTGTTCTTTCCTGGAGCAAGATGTCGGCCCTGTAAGGAAACCATGCCAGGCAGACCTAGAACCACTTTTACTGGAACAGCCACAGCAACAGACGCTTGCTAGTCCGAATGTGCTCCTCCCTCGCTTTACCTTGGTTTGAATTACGGAGGAGCCAGCCTGCCCTGTTCCTTAAGTCTGTTTTTTTTGGGGGGGGGGGAGAATGAGTGTAACGCCTTGTGGCCTGATCGTTGCCTTGGTTACAGATTTTACAACTGTCCTTCAAGGCCATTCCCTATGCCCTCTACACAAAGGAACTCATTTCTATAGGAAGCCCTGTCATTTTTATTTTTGAAGATAGTCTCTGTGATATATGTGGAAAAAGAGAGGATGCTTGAGACTAGTACTTCGTGTTGCAACTTCCCTTTTATTTATTTCTAATGATAAGAACCTCAGAGAAATGCAAATGGAGAGAGGAAGCCTAACAGATTTCAAAGCAAAACATTGACCCTATTTGGATGAGTGGGCATCATGCTGAAGACCCGAATCTTAATCTATTTCCCAAGATGGTTGTCAGCATCACATCAGAAGGTAGGTGGAAGTGAGTCAAAGAAATGCACTCCATTCTGCAGAAAACAGAAATGCATAAATAAATGAATAGCTGAAAAATCAATGTTTGTGGATATACTTTGACCCCAAAATTTGGGATAGATGCAAGTGAAGGAGAAATCTAGAATGGAGAAGCAATAAATCATGATGTATATGCCCCCCCATGATTATTTTTCTACTGCAAATGTCGTCCTTGTAGGAGAGAAGTTAGAAGAAAGGGATGCTTTACAAGTGGAGATTTGTCTGTATCAGCCCTACCAGTAGACCAGACCAGAAAATTAAATCCACATGGCCCTTGTTTAAACTGAAAAACAAAAAAGGACAAGCACAAAGAATGGAAAGAGGGACACATAACTAAGGCAGAATGCCAGTATATAGCCTGAATCTACAAAGATGAAGTTAGGAAAGCAAAGGCTCAGAATGAATAAAGACTTGCAACAAAAGTCAAAGATAATAAAAATGTTTCTTTCAACATAGAAATAGCAAGAAAAAAGTCAAGGAAAAAGTAGATCCACTTAAGAGAGAAGATGGTAAGGAAGTAACAGACAATAGAGAGAAAGCGGAGCTGCTTAATTCATTCTTTGCATCAGTCTTCATGCAAAAAGAAACTATGGCCCAACCTACCAAAAACCTAACTGCATCCTGAAGCCAGTTAGCCAAGCATTAGAGGCTTTAAAGAGGAGGCATCTCATTCTAAGGTGACGTGTCCATGTATCCTTCGCATTTCACTATGTTCTTCAGCAAGTGCTCTGGAGTCATGACTCAGTTTCCCATTTGCAGGAACCTTTGATGGGAGGACTTCCCCAGGAGACTTAACAAGGTTTGAAGCTGATTTACATAAGTTGAAATGCTCTTCAAATGTCTACATGGTAAGAGAGGAATGAAAAAGAGTGGGTGGGAAAATCATGAGCAGACTTAGGCCACAGCCTTTCAGAGACCGTGGAAACAAGATTTACTTCAATGGCTTATCTTTCCTAAGAGTCCCTCACAGGATATCACAAAAAAGATGGCAACCACAATGGCATCACCCCTTTTTTTAATGTCTGGTGCATGTCTTTTTGACCACATCCTCTGTGGACAGTCTTCCTCAGTCAGTGCTTTCAGCAGGACTTGGCATCTTGGTCATGAATCACACACAGTTGATGTCATTTTGACTGGCACACAATTTGGCCATCCAAGGTTGCTTGCAGAAAAGGGCATTTATCCAGAAGCCAGCTGGGTATTCTGACCTGAGAGGTTTGGGATTTTTTTCATGTTTTTTTTTTTAAAGAACAGAGACATGGCAGAGTGAAGTAAAATGATGACTGCATCAACATTGGGTATCCAGCAGGTACAGCAGTCACTGCAGATATAGGCAAAGAGTCTCACAGTTGAATCAATCAACCTGGATGGCAAAAACATTTTTGAAATTGGAGTCAGGGAAAGATGAGGAAATTTTAATATGCCTGAGATTTTTCTCACAAATAAATGGCTTTGAAAGATTGAATACTATTGGATGTACTAGATTTCTATGTTGTATTTCAACTGTTATGACTCTATAGCTAAAATAACATTAATTTTAAAAACATTTTGTGTTCAACTAGTCTAAATACATGCCCAGAATAGCTACTGTGAGCCAAACTGAAATACTGATGTATTAAAAAAAGAAAAAGAAAACAGGGGTGGGGAAGAGATTTAGCAAAACTCAAGTTCTGTTTCTTGCTGCAAAAGGCCAAACTACGTGGATCCAGTGCCAGCTAGATAAATGGGAATGGTGAGAGAGAGTCCCGTTCTGTTTCAAGCACACAGGCCAGAAGGAATGTTCCAGGAGAATTCATTTGAATACCCAAATTCTGTTCTCAGACACTGAAATAAAGTAAAGTTCTGCATATTTGGTTTTTGACTTTATGGGTTTGTCAAACACCAAAGAATGGTTGATGGACACATTGCACGATCGATTTTATGAAGGGCAGGAGGAATGCCGAGAAGGTACAATATTAAGCATTTACAGCACAATACAATTTAATAGGTATCTTACATACAAAAGGGATGGCATTAAGACCTAAACATTTTATTTAGAAAAGATATTAAACTAACTTGATGGCACAAAATGTACAATGCAGCAACTTTTCTGCATAGATAACCCTCAACCGGTTGTTGGGGAGGGCAGATGGAGAAATTCTAATTTTTTTGCTTAACAGCTCTCACTTGATGAAAGTAGCGTACTTTAAAAAAAACCTGTACTTTGAAAAAGAACTTTAGTGAAAAAGTGGTGCGTTGTGACGGTTCTGTACTTGTTTACTTCTGAGGTAGCTAAGGTGTGTGTGTGTGTCCGTGTCCTGTTTTTCTTGGTGGCACCATCCTCTCCCAGATCTCCGTCTCCAGGTTCCTTGTGTCTCCGTTATAGCCCAAGAGGTCACGAAGAACTCCTGGCCTTTTTTAGTGGCCATCAGCAGCATTTGCAGAAGGTAGCAAAACTGCAGGGACAGAATCTTGCAACATGCAACAGGTGACTGTCAGCTTGTAAATTTTGACACTCTTCCTCCCCAGTCACAACTAACTGTAGATTTGTCCTTTAAATTGTCGGAGAACCTCTCTTTACTCTGGTGAAATTCCTTCCTATCCACAAATTTGGCGGGAAGTTTTTATTTGTAGCAATTCGATTTATTACTCTTGCTGATGAAATGATATAAAAAAACCTGTCCTGCCCAGTTCACAAATGGGCAATTCTGTTCAGAGTAGCAGCTTGCCAAGATCCCAGATTTGATTTACAAAATTCTTCACAAGGGGCACCAAAATCTAAGGGAGAGTTTTTAGTCCTGTGCTGTTTCATTTCATGTGCCCCTGCCAAATTTTGGTATACATTATTTTCCTTGAACTTTAAGCAATTAGAGCTATTAACCCATTTTAGAAGGTTTACAAATTCAAGAAAATTTCCTTTTCTCCTAAATGTTTTGAATTGGCAGTTTGGTTTGTCCTCCAGGCTTAATCAAAGTACAAGCCTGTTGCCGAGGAGGATCTTGGGAAGTGCTGTTTTGAGGGGGGGGGAGTAAGGAAGGTTCTTGGCCAGATTAGCACCTTGTCAGAACTATAATCCCCAGGATTCCACATTAAACTGATAGAGAATTGATACACATTTTTAGTATGAAATACGCTATTTATGACTGAACACTCCTCAGACACAGAGATTTCTCTCCAAGTCTAGATTTTTGAAGTTGTGCTCATGAGAAATGGGTTGTGAATAAGTAATAAAAATAAACTTAACTCGATCCGTGAACTTGCAGATACATTTCATAGGTCAACTCAAGTGACGTTCTCCAGGAAGTTTTCTGTCAGTACAAAAAGTTACATGAGAAAGACTAGCCAGGATGTCTGGATTCTCGGTCAATGCTCTGCTCAGGAAGCATCAGTGATGGAAAGCTTCCCTTCCCTTGTTTCTTAAATCTTTTGAGCAGAGCCTCATACTGGGATTACTCACAAGGCTCAAACACCTTGCACAAATGCAAGGTGCACACAACTTGCTATACCATGTTGAGGAATAGATATTTGTGATTCAGTGCATTCTAGGAAGCCAAGTCTTTACCTTAGCAAGATGGGTGACTCAAGCCATCTTTCCAAGTCCCAAAGGCCATCTGTGTTTGAGCATAGCACGGCATATAAATGCAGCCCACCATCTGCACATTGACCCAGGCTTGGATTCTTGAGTTTTGTGAAAACCAGTCAATCAGCGGGTGAAGTAAATAATGCTAGCGATTGCATTGTGTCCATCATCTCTCTTCCTATGTGTTACATCCATTAGATTTTGGGAAATGGCAGCCCCAACACATCTGAAGGTCAGGAAGGATGCACCAACTTATTCATCAAGATATACAATCTAGAGAATAATTCATACAACACCGAATTATGGCACAGCTTAATGGGCAGATTTTCCTGGATCATCTGAACTGTCATGACTGCTCAGAGATTGGAAGCCAAGTTTATTTTCTCAAAGAATGCTGATGCCAAAGGATTTGAGAATGGAAGCAAAGTATTTAAAGTAGTTGCTTAAAGAAGAAATGCATCACACTTTTGTGTCATTTAAAAAGATGGCACACAGCATCCAATCAGTGTTGGCATCATCCATTTCCATGTGTCAAGACAATGTGGGACTGAATTCAAATGAAGAATGAAAGATGACTGAGACACAATTTATCCAGTTCCGCTTCTTAATGACAATTAAAAAACCAGCATTAAGTTAACTTGGGCTCACCTCAGGACCTATTTAAAGGTACACAATTTTGCAAAAGGACTTGATTTGAACCTCAATTTGTTAGAATTTGCAGCTGTCTGAGATGTATATATGTATGGAGGAAGGAGGACAGCAAACATTGGGACTGGAAAGAATGAAATCAGGTTCAGCACCATAACAGCTTTGGTCCCTGTCTGAACTGGCTCCTCTAAGACAGCTGTAGGGGTCAGAAAAATAAGCCATAATACAAAGAATCCATAAAATGAGAAAAAGATCATGAATAACAAATGGTGATAGGAAATATGACTGACAGTCCAGAGATCGTACAGGGTTCAGGGAAGACACTCAGCGTACCACCAGCTTCCTCCTGGCAGCTATCAAGATCTCGACACATTCATAGGACAGAAGGGCTATCCTCCAGAAAGCGGGTGGGCTTATTCCTTCAATGAAATGTACTTTAATTACACAGATTGGTCTTTTCCACCAAATTCAGTCCAGTCAGTTCTTTACAGAAGCATCACTACTTTCCAGGTGCCAAAAGCACACAATCCCACCACATGCCAGGCTTCCAAGTGATGACTTGAGTAATAATACAAACAACTCTATGTTGTGTCATTGTCTTTGTTTCCACGTGAGAGTCATGGCTGGCCATGCAACAGGGTTGCTTCAGAAGCAGACTGGCTGCTCCTGCATAATACTGGCGTGTAAGTCCTGAGTGTTTTCACTCGAGGGACTCTTGGATACATCTACTGTCTGAAAGGAGGGAGGGGAGCCAGTCCTTAATCTAGGGGTTCCTGTTTTATTCTGATTGTGGTATTGGGCTGTGGCCTCCTGTCTTCACGACACAGCACATATTCACTGAACTGGGAGGAATCCACACCTCCACCGCAGGACGCTGCCACATTAAATCCCTTCTGGAACAACCGTTCAAGAACCTGGAGATTTTGGAAAATGAGAAATATATTAGAACAAGATTTCATACAAAATGCGCCCCTGAAAGATCCAAAGATGCTTTCCTGACTCCAATAGGCTCCATCTTCTAATAAATAGGCAGAAATAAAAAACTGCCACTTCAAGATACCTGGAAGGCTTTCATAAATGGCCTGGCCCGCATCCTTTAATAAGCCACAAATGCCTTCTCAACTAAGCAATTTAAAATTCCTGAAGGAACTTCGTTTGTTTAGAATACGTGTTTGATGCAAAAAGAATCCTGGATTCAACTGGAAGACTTTTTGGCTAAAAAGTTCATGCCTAGAATTTTAGGCCACAAATGATATACTTGATGATACACTACAATTTTTCCTCCATTCTTGACTGTGGTTGTGCGGTTTCTGTTCGTGAGTTTAGCGTTCTTTCTTAAAAAATGTAATTTTTATTAAAGATTTTTAAACAAGTGAAAGATAAACATAAAATACAAAAAGTGAAATTGAGAAAGCTAGAAAGTACAGAAAATAAAAGATAATTTATAAAGAAACAGAAATGCTGTAACTTGTATTTTTACAGCACTTATAAGCTTAGTATTATTAGTATTATCCATCCCACTTTAAAATTGCATACGTAGTTCACTTCTTCCCATATCCTTCACTTTGCAAGCCCAAAAATAACTTTTGTCCATTTTGAGCAAAAAGTATAAAAAAAAATTCCAGCATTTTTTAAAGAATCCTACTGTCGTGTCCCTGATGAAACGAGTCAATTTTATATACTGTCTCTTATCCAGTATCTCTGCACTATTGATCCTTAGCTTGGCATTAATTTGTCTTCTTCCTGACAAGGTGCCCAAATATATTTCTTGGTACATTTATTTTTGGTATTGATATTGTATTCTTGTCCACTTCTGCAACCATGTCAGCTTCTTCTCATTCTATTTTTTTAAGGCTTCAGCAACTCTCAACTTACTATCTTTGCCAGATTGTTCTCTAAGTATCTCAACCCCAAGCAACGTTCTTTCTCTTTTAAATCCAGTAATGCCACATTATTTAAATCTTTTTACATCTCTTGGTTGAATGTTTCTGTGTCACTCATCTGTATTGCAGATTCTTCACATTTTTAAATTCATCTTTTCTTCATATTTGCAGATCTTTCTTCCATTCTCCTATCAAATATAATCAAATCTATTTGATTACAAATACTGACTACATTTTATGTTAGTTTATTTAACCTCCCACCTACCCACTTATCTACAATGCAGATTCTTCTTTTTTTTGCATTCAAAATTTTTATTAGTTTATACAAATGTAATATAAAATACAAAAATACAAAAGAAAATAAGGGGGAAATAAGGGAGGGAAAAGTGTAGGGTAGAAGGGAGAAAGAAAGAAAGAAAAAGAGTTGATTTCCAACTCCTTTTGGTGCATTATAGTAAGGTAATAGCATAAAACCTCAACTTTTTACTTTTATATAATAATATGAATTAACCATGTCTATAACAACAAACCTACTGTATTTAATCGGCAAAACCCAAAATCAAAGTTCCATTTTTTCCACCTCAAGCACAAAGTCCAAAATGGTTTCCAAACAGAAACAAAATTATGTTTTCTTTAATCAAGCCAGTCAATTTAGCCATCTCTGTTAACTCCATCGGCTTTTGCAGCTATTCGTCCATTGTGGGAATCAACGTGTCCTTCCGTTTTTAAGCATAAAGTAACCTTGCTGTGATTTGGTTGGAAAAGGATTTTGATGCAGGCCTTCTGAATTGAGCCTAACCACGGACTTTTTCAATGTTACTTTAGCTTTCTGGACTTGTTTAGGGTATAAATTACTCTGCAAAATACTTGGTTCCAAAGATGTTAAAAGGGCCCAGAAGAGGAGTTAGGAGCTACATGATACATCTTGGTCTTTCAGGATCTCTTAGCATATTATGCAGTGATAATTCTATAAGTTATTCCTAAATGACTACAGTGTGATTAAAGTCTTGCTTACAGCAAACCTCTACAGCAAAGCCAAATATTAATCAAACCAACAAGTGCTCTGCAGGGCAGTTCAGTACATTATGGAGGAACATACTGGCTGGTAGTGATATTGATGCAACCTCTTAAGGAATAGCAACACTTGGGCTTCATCATAACAAAATGAGGCTATGACTCATCATGAATATGCAATGTTGGAAGTGGGGAAACAGTGCAGACTTCTGCAAACATATTTACTGGTGCAATTTGTCTTTTAGAGGTTTTCCTTGTAAGTGGTTTCTGGGGGGGTGGGTTGTGGTGCTTGGCAGTCACTGTGAGACTTTATAACAATATTATTCTATGTCTGAAAACAGTATAACCAATCCAGAATGGCAAAGCAGTGCCAATGAAGAGATGAAACGCAACTGAAGAAAGGGAAGAATGCCAGCATCCTGTTCATTCACCCTTGCGTGATGCATATAAAAAACAGCTTGTAAGACCATCAGGGACCGCTGTGAATGGTTGCATGATGGAGGCCAAGAATTCAGGAGAGGCCTTTGCTACTCATACTGGAGATTGGGCTCTTAATGCCCCTTATTCATTTCAACACTGGCAGCAGTTCTTTGATAAGCAATAGATGCACACATGCACTTCCAATGGAGATCAACCTTGTGGCCCACCGCAAGGAGCGTAGACTGATTTTACAGTAGTTGAATCATATAAATTATTCTGAGAAGACTGAGGGGCTTCAGAATTGGCTTGCTAGAAATCCTAACACAGAGTCAAACAGCTTAAAAAGAGCAACTGTGAGAGGGACCTTGGAGTCCTAGTGGACGATCACTTGACCATGAGCCAGCAGTGTGCAGCAGCAGTAGCAGCCAGAAAAACTAATACACTCGTGGGTTGTATAAACAGAGGCATAGAATCAAGAACACGCAAAGTATTATTACCGCTTTATAAAACCCTAGTAAGACCACACCTGGAATACTACAGCCAATTTTGGTCACCATACTACAAAAAAGATGTTGAGACTTTGGAAAAAGTGCAAAGAAGAGCAACTAAGATGATCCAAGGCCTGGCGATTAAAATATACGAAGAATGGCTGCAGGACTTGGGTTTGGCTAGTCTAAAGAAAAGAAGAAATAGGGGAGACATGACAGCAGTGTTCCAATATTTGAGGGGCTGCCACAAAGAAGAGGGGGTCACGTTATTCTCCAAAGCACCAGAGGGCAGGACAAGAAACAACGGTTGGAAACTGACCAAAGAGAGAAGCAACCTGGAATTAAGGAGAAACTTCCTGACAGTGAGGGCAATTAACCAGTGGAACAGCTTGCCTCCAGAAATTCTGGATGCTCCATCACTGGAGATTTTTAAAAAGAGGCTAGACATTCACTTCTCTGAGATGGTATAGGTTCTCCTGCTTGAGCAGGGGGCTGGACTAGAAGACCTCCAAGGTCCCTTCCAGTTCTATTCTATTCTAAAGTATTCTTCTATTTCTAATATTTTAATGTCACTGCTGTGTTATAATTTTAATCCATTTTTGTCATTTTGTAGTCTGTTGTAATTTTATAACTTTTATTCCTACATCTATTCCACCCTGCAATCATAACAGTGACGTTAAGCATGTAACACGTTTTATTAATAAAGAAATTGATTTAAAAACAGCGGGGAGAAATTCCACTGGGATTCAAATGGGTAGGGATTCATCTCCCACTTCATCCTCAGCCAGCAGCATCACCCAAAAGGGCCAGAAGTAACTTCTGGGGCTGCTCCTTCTCTTCTTTGGGACTGGACATCAAGATAACAACAATGACCACGATCTTGGGGGCTCCCTTGGCTCCCCCCAGCCCAAAGCTTCGGCCAGAAACTAACTCCCCTTGCCCGGCACCTAAGGGAGATCTCACCCAAGAAGACCCTTCTCCTTTGGGCTTCCCTATCAAAGCTGCTGAGCGGTCCCCCCACTCCTAGGGGCGACCAGCCTTGGTGGGAGAACTCTTCCAAAGGAGATGCCAAAGGGCACAGGACCCTCGCTTGCTTTCTCCTGCGCCTGCTGATCATCCGGTCTAACTACCTTGGTTTCAAGACCTAATTTTACAACTTTTTAAAAAAAGGATAGAAGGGGAAAAAAACCCCTCAGTCAATCCCTACGAAAACCTTTGAGTATAAAGTGGAACACATTTTATTTTAAATACTCCGGGCAATTTTTACAATACATCTTTTTGGGGAAAAAAGTGCAGAGATCATATTTTAAAGTCCATCCTGCAGGCTCTATCATTTAATTATGAGCAGGACATAAATTATGCATTTATACATTGTTGCATTTTCTACAAAGTGGCATGCAAAACATTTCTCTCCCCCTTTTCTTTTCTTTTCTCCTTCTCTACGTACCGTAGTTTGATAGGGTTTTTTTCTTCCTAGGGGCATTGTAGAAGGAAGAAAGGACTGCAGGGTACGCGATGATGAAAAAAAATTAGCATTTGTCAGGCTAACACCATTATGAGATCAGCATGGTGCTAACATATACAAAATCTAAATCTATTTTTTCTCCTGCTTGAACTTGGGAGGGGCAAGGAGAAGAGAAAGGAAAGGAAGGCGGGGGGGTGGGATATCCTGAACAGTCCATGGGCTCACCATAAACCAGGTTTCCGTGCGGTTGGGCACTAGAGGGAGGGACACAAAAGCAGGGGGGGGGATTCCCCTGCCAGCAAAAGGCGGAAGAGAAACGCAGACTTACCTGGACCGAGTTCAGCCGGCAGTAGCCGTTCAAGGGGAAGCGGATGACGTGGGTGGGGTCCTGGTTCCAGCCGGCATTCACCGAGTTGCACATCACATCCCCCGTCTCTGGAAAGATCTCCTCAATGAGCGCCTTCTCCCCACTCAAGGCGATGCGCTCACCGAGATCTGGAGTCACCCTCACCACTAGGCAGTCGCAGGGCTGGAAATGCTTCTGCTGCTCTTTCTCCTGTTTCCAGCGCTCCAGTTCTTTGATCATCGGCTGCAGCTGGTAATACTTGGCTTCTTCATATAAAAGACTGAAGTCCTTGTGAAGGAAGGGAGAGGAAGAGGCTAGGAAAATCGATGCATCGTGCCCACCCCTGCAAACAGAGACTTTTTTTTTTTAAAAGGTTAATATTCCACCGAGGCCAAGCCTTTTGCTTGGGCAGCAGGGAGGAGTCAAAAAGTCAAGATGGCAGCCACAACCATGTGACCAAAGTTCTGCCCTGGAAGGCGCTTAACCCGTCCCGTCAGCCGCCTTGTCTCTTGTGATCCCTGGCTGGAGGCTCCCTCTGACCTGGCCAAGGTGCTGGGATTGCGCGTATGTGCCTGTGAACCAGATGGATTGCCTGCAGTAAACTGAAGCCACGTGGCACAAGAAGAGGAACAGAATCTTTGCCAGAATGATCTCATAGGACAGGGGTCCCCAACATTTCCACCTTGGTGGCCTGACCTAGCAGAGGGGGTGAGTGGCAGGTGCACAAGCACGCACAGCTCCTTTGGCCTGAGTGGCGGCTGTGGGCAGCCTCCACTTGCATGAATGGAGTTTTGTGCACGAGCAGAGGGCGCTCGCATTCGTGCGCAAAGCTACACTCACGCGAGTGGAGGGTGCTTGAGCAGAGAGTGCTTGTGCTCTCGTGCGAGGCTGCACAAAGCTCCATTTGCATGAATAGACCTTCAAGCGTGAGCACAAGCGCCTTTCGCTCAAGAGCTGTATACACACATGCACTTGCCCATCGCTCGCACAGCCCGGTTTCTTAGGGCGCTTGTCCGAATTGTCAGCTATTATAACAATTGCACCTCATTCTCTAAAAATGTAACTGTCATGGTTCTGACAGACAGAGACAAATAAAGCAGTACTCTAAGGCTTGCAAGTTCTCAAAGAACCTGTTAATTGATACCAAGTATCAGCATGTCAAAAGGGAAACCCAAGTCTGAACAGACACGTAACAATCCCCAATACAAAGTTAAGAAATCCCACCCCTAAAGCTACGCAAGCTACTACTTCCCCCAATACATCTTCTTGGCGGGCACGTTCAGAGTTGACAGTAGCCAGGAAAGAACTCCCTAGGCTAAAGGGCAGTCTCATTCACGGTCATCCATACTTACCTAAAAATCTTCACTTTGATATAATTCTGCTGTGATTTTCAAGGCTGTGTGCTTTTCCTTGCTCCTCGTCAGACAATTGCTTAATTTCCTGCTTTCCCTATACTTTTTTTGCACAGAAAGTTTCTGTCTTCCAACTATCCTGATTTTGGATATTTCTCCTTATGTGCTCCTATTGGTCTCCTTATTCCTGGACTGCAATTCCCTTGGAATCTCCCACCACTTTAAGCTGTAGGCCACAGAAGTCCAATCCCAGCCAAGGGGCCACCTCTTCCTTCCCGAACAGAAGCTGGACTGCGAATCATTCAATTTCAGAGCACCAGCACAGTCTGAATGTCTGATTTATGGAAAGACACCATCATGATATACCTACTGCATTGAAATGAGGGGCAACAGCAGCAGGTTAACACCGTCCCAAAGATCATGCGAGAGAGAGAACTTAATCCCAGAATGTATACATTCTATTTCTTTATTTCCATAGGCTCGTAGGCCTCTTCAAATCCAAGCAACATTAATCTCCCTCTTATTGTTGCAAGTACTAAGCTGAATAAGCTTTTAAGGAAAACATTCTTTCGCCCTCTTATAGAAATCTGGTAGGCAATCTGCAGAACTCTCCAACGTAGGATATTGTTTAAGCAAAGCATTGCAAAGATCTGGCAGCCAACCCTACAAGGACATGAATGGCACTTGAGAGCCACACCTGGAGAAGACAGGAAGTCTCATCTTAATATTTGCAAAGAATATTAAGATTGGGTTGCACCCTTGTTCTGCACTGCCTGCTCCAATTCTTTGCCCTGCAGATGTGTTGGGAGCAACTCCTGGACCTCCCAGCGAACAGGGCCAAGAGCAGCTCCAGACCCAAAAGGAGAGTGATGGACGGGGACTCGTGATCTGTTCTCATGGGCCAAATGGCCACAGGCCGGGGAGGGCAGGAGTGAATCTATTCCCAGCAGTGAAGCAAAGATTTACCAGAGGGCAACCTGAGAGTGCCTCCTCTAATTATAGGCTCTGTTTTAAGATAACTTGAAAACATGCCAATATATTTGGGTGGAGAACTATGCCCAATTATTTCTATTTGGGATTACTGGGCCCAACAGGAGAAATCTCAAGAGACTGCTAATATTATCTTGTGAGCTGGCTAGAAAATAAGAATGATTTCTTCATACACCTGACAGATGGGTGTTAAGGGTGAAATATTTTCTGACCATCTTCCCCTTTAACACATCTTCCAAAGACTGTCGCCTATGGAGGATGTGGAGAAGACTGTCAAAGGGATGGAGAGACAAACAGAACAAGAAAAAAAGCACTTCTCATCTATGCAGAGTTTTCTGAAAAGGATCCTTAACACAACCTATTCTTCTTCCCCCCTTCTTCTTCTACCCAAGAACTCCCTGCTTCTTCTAAATCTACGTATGTCTCCAAGGGCAGCTCTTCAGAGACCACATGCTCAATGTCTTGTACGCAGCCTGGAAAGCAAAGCTGGTTGCTCAGCATCATCCTTCGGTGTAATTTTATTGACTTGCTCAAGAGGAAGCCGTTTAGCCCAAACCAGCAAGGGAACACCCACAAAACACTCTGAAGGCAGAAGTAGAATCGCCTTCTCAGACTGGCTGCTGGCTACACCCGGAAGCTGCCGACAGAGCTGCCAATCTGATATTGCTTATCTGATAGAAGGAGGCTTTACTCCCATTTTATACAGGTGACTCAGGGCAGAAAATGGGGAATCCAAATGGAAAAGTGCTGACAATGTTTTTTCAAGGTGCTGGAAAACAAGACCAGCCCCTCTTGCGTTCATTGCCAAGGGGAAATGGCTAAAATACAAGCTCTGTCCAACTGGAGGAATCCCACAAGGCAAGACAGATGGTTACTCTCTAACAACAGTAATAACAATACCTTATTCAAGTCTTAAATGATCCAAACACTAACTCTAACAAGTCTCACTGTTACCATCTCCATCTCTTCCAAGCGGCTGCCCTCAGCTGGGCTTGGACTACGTCTCTTAGGTGAGCATAGCCAAAGCACATGAGGTTGGGGAAGGCTGGCTAAAAAAGGCCTAATTTCAGCCTTAGAGCTGCATGAGGGTGCAAGGCTGGAAACAGAAGCTTGAAGATCTGAGCAACCCTCATGACTCCAATGGGTACTCCACCTCTCACACAGTCTGCTCTTGAGGAAGCCTTCTCACAATTGCAAAGACAGTTTCCATGTGCCTGTGACTTCTAAAAAAAGCCATAACTGCTAACTCAAAGTCCTTCTGTTGCTTATTGCTACCGATATGTGCTGTAGAGTTAAGTGGAGGGTCTAGCCAAGGTAGAGAGTACTTTGAGCCTTGCCTTATTAGCAACTGGAACAGTAGTTAATATTCACTGTAAACACACCAGCCAGATGTGATAATAGAGAACTGCTAGCTAGGAACATAGCGGCATGATTGTCTTCACTGCTCACCGCTTGCTTAGTCTGAAAACAGACTCCACAGAGGCAGAACTCTGGAGAACACACCTCCAAAATCCACCCTGCTGGAACTGGTGGAAAAACTCCTGGAGTAAGAGGTGCAAGGATTGACACCTTCCTGTACATTTTGCATGGTTCTGTCTCATAGCAAAGATAAAAAATACCAGCACCTTTGTTTTATAGATAGCATTTTTTTTTTGTTTACTCCTTCCCATCCTCTGGATCAATTTCTGAATTCATCTAAAGCAAAACAGTCCCAGAAGCCAGCCTTGAGCTGTGCTTGGATAAGCTCACAAGAGACGTCCTTTCCAAAAACCTGAAGGAACAGTTTGGCCTATCTTGGTTCCCCATAGCTTTCTCTCTCCCCTATGCCCTCCCTCCGCCTGGGAAACTGGCAAGGCTAGTTTTTCTCGCCATGCACAAGTATACATAATCCGAACTGGACTGTGTTGTTTCTCTGTGTCATATAACATATATGGGTATATGGATAATTGTGTGTGTGTGTGTGTGTGTTTATTTTTGTCATATTTATATAGTGTATAGTGTATAAAAGGTGACCCTTTGAGAGCTGAATGCAATGAAATTTCATTTTAATGTATGCCAGTTAATGTACATTCAAAGTGACAATAAAATTATTCTCCTCTCCTCCCCTCTCCTCCCCTCCTACTCTACTCTATTGTATAGTTCATACATCCTTGGAAGTTATCTTCTCCCTTCCTGCTTGTTCCTTTCTCCAACCAGATAATTCAGATTTAGACAGATTTTACAGGCTGGTAACTTTGTGGAGAGAATTTGGGGCCTTTTTCTTTTAAATGCTGAAGACCTCATTGACTGCACATGCCGAGTTGCATGAAACGTTCAATTTTCCTCTGTAAGAACTTCCATACTCTGGCTACAACTGTGTTTTGAATGCTTGCATTCTTTTTTAGGTATCTCAAATCATAGTAGCAAAAGGACCATTAAAGTGGAGCAGATGTTGAGCACCTCCCAAGAGGGCTCCAACTGCTGGGAAGCCCAGAGGGGTCGGTCACTCAGGACCTGCTGCTCCATGCTAAGAAAGTGCAGCACCTGCTATTTTGACATGATGACGTGGCACCCCGCATTTCTGCAAATCTAGAAACACAACCGAAACCGCCTATTTCTCCTGACCATCCGAAACACATTACTGAAGACATTTATAGTTTCTGGCATCATTTGGCTCAGTGGTTCCTCATGAAAGATTTCTGTTTCCCAAGTGGAATAAAGGCTCATATCCGGGCATATGTTAATAATTTAATACGCTGTGCTGCAATAGAGTCTTTTAATTTATTTTATTTATGCTGCTTTACTTTTTGCTACTAATGGTTTGAATTCAGAATGTTTCAAATTTCAACATTCCTCTGCTTGAAACAGGAGGCTTCAACTATGCTGCAAGTGTTTCAGGTTCAAAAAGCTGTTTTGAATTCAGTTGAAACACATTTAATGGGGTTGAGACAACCTGTTATAAACTCTAAATGTCTGGGATCAGATACGTCTCTACGCCTCCACTAGAAATTATCACTATTTCGTATACAGCTGCCATTATACTGGAAATATCTGGATTGTGTTTTTTTAAAAGGCTTAAGTCATCCATGGGGATTTTGTTCTAAAGGATGGCTATGTATTTTTAAAGTAATAATGACAGAATAAAAATATATTGCAGCTACAGAGGCGATGCTTGACTTACGGCAGCAACTGTGGTGAGAATTTCTGTCACTAAGCGATGTGGTCGTAAAGTGTGACTGTATTGCTTAGCAATAGTAATCCCTGCCCTCCTGTTGCTATTGCAACAGCCCTGAGGTGGTGCAGCAGCCAGAAGGCAAGTCCTGCGGCGGACCCTGCGTCCCCACTGCCCGCAGTTCGATCTTGATGGGGCTCGCGGCTGATTCAGCCTGCTGCTTTTCCAATTCAACTGGAAGATGCCTAGTTAAGCAGGCTATCTTAGACGTGGATCCTTGCTGGAGAAGGCTTCAAGACCTGCACGCTCCTTATTCCGACGTGGGTGTTTTACTCCCATCCCTATTCCAATAACGGCAGCAGAGCACAAGGTGAAGGGAAACACACACATTTGACAGCATCAAAGGAGCTGGGCTGGCCAGGAATGGTTCAACAGGGCCTGCAAGGAAGCAAAGCAGACCTGCGCTTGGCAAAGGTGCGCTTCCTGAACTGCAGGAGCACGTAGCTGGAACCTGACCCTGGCACGGTGCTCCCCAGATTGCCCAGGCCTTCTGTTGGTAGATTTGCTGCTGCAACCCATTCAAGGCCTGACGATTCTAATGCCCAACGCCGTCCTAAGCTCATGCGGAAGTGCCCCTTTCAAAGTAGATGTCCAGAAAGCTCACCACGTTCACAGAATGCACCAAACCAAACTACATGTCACCTGAAGTCAGAGGGAGAGCAGTACAAGCTGGTTCCCAGTCAAGGGCATCTGTAGTACAGAACAAAACTAATCAAACTAGGGGCTGTGTGGTTGTGGGCACCATCTTGACTTTTTGAGCTCAGTTGACCCAGAGCTAGTTCCCAGCCCTGAAAATCAGAGAGTTCACTACTCCTACAAAAGTGGGCACCCCATCATAACCTTTGAATGTGAAACATGATATTCAATATATACGTAATTACCTGGAATTCAGTTTAATTCTATTTTAATCTAGTTTTTATCCTGGCTCCATCTCTTTTCTGGAAAAGAGTCTGTGGCACATCTCTCAAATATAAAATGCATCCCACAGTCTGGAAAACACTTGAGTTCCCTGGTATAGCATGTTGTGTGAACCCAGACAACTGTGGTGGTTAATTGAACAAACCGTGGTTAAGCAAGCAATAACTAAGCATGGTGTCAGCCTCTGACGGGAGTTTGAGAATGGGAGAATGAAAGGCAAGGAGCCTTGCAAACTCTTTTCGCACCCCCTGCGGGGATCTGTTCAGCCAGAGAGGATGATGCTCTAAAAGAAACGTCAATTAATTAATAAGAAAAAAAAAACAGATTACAGGTTTCTTGCCTGTCTTACCTTAAAATCCTCCGGGAGCAGCAGCTTTGAAGTTCTTAAGAAACTCAAGATGTATCTGAATATTTCACCATCTCGATCAATGAAATAGTGTTGTTTTAAACTGTCCAAGACAATCGGCTCTGTGCCATTAAAGAGGCGGCTTATTCTGGGGAGAAAAGGGAAAGAGTTGGCCGAAGGAAGAGCAGCCCAGGGGAGGCAGAAATGCAGCCCATCCTTTCTAAGGTCCCAGAGCTGGCTTTCCTTGAAGCCATGCAGACTCATTTCCAGGGCAGGAGGCTGCAGAAATTAAGTCTCTCCTGCAGACTAAACCCCAGGCGTCCCAAAGAGTCAAGTCACACTGGCATGAACACCACCAAGAACCGCGAACTGATGACAGTCACAGGACTGGCTGACTGGGGAAGAGAAGAAGCCCAGATGACTCTAGAAAGCAAGCCAGGCAGTCCCTCCCAGAGACCCGCAAAAGAGGACACGCCCAGAGGGCTCTGATTCAGGAGGACCCAACCACTGCTTGGACCACACAACATCCCGAGTCCTCAGCAGAAACACAGGCCGGGCAGGGGCCCAGGGGAAGGCGGGAAAGATGTCCCCTGCTCCTCACAGGCAGCCATGGGAACAGCCAAGCCAGTCCTGCGGGGAGAAAGGGGGCAGAAGGGGAATCCTCCCTAACCGGCTTCTGTTCTCGGCTCAGGAACCGTGGTTTATGAAACTGAAGGCATGGCATCCAAACCAGGCATTTTTTTGTGATCGCTTCCTTCTCTTTTAACATTTTCCAGCCACGTCTCATCTTTTGGGAAGGGGGAAACTGTGTGGTGCAATCTCTGGTGGGGCCCAGTTTCCCGTCTGGGGGCTCACAAACGCAGCTACTTAAAAAGCAAAGCCCCACATGGCTCCTTGTCCCAAAAGCCACACATTTCTGGCTGCAAAATATCTCCACTCTTTCGAAGTCTCCTATGGCTGACTTCCCTTCCTGGCAGAGAGCGCCTCTTCCCACTCCTTCCCCTGCTTGTTTCTCCGCATCTCTCCGGAAGCAGCAGCCAGGGCCCCCCAGGCATCTGGGGGCAGGTTTTGACTCAACGCGGGTAGTTTAGGGACAGGCTGCTGCCTCTCTCCTCCCCGGATGGCCCAGATCGAAGCCTCCTTTTGATGTTGCCTTGTCTTCCCACTTCATGTATAATTTCCTTTCCACTATCGGTCCTTAATCTGGAGTTTCCAGTTCTTTCTAATTTAGTAATCATCTGCAGATTTCATTAATATACCTTCCTTCTTACTCTCCTCTGGGTTAATTATAGAGATATTTAATATTGCAGAACACCCCGCTCCCCGCTCTGCTCCCCACTCAGTGGCCATCGCTCCCTCCTACTCCTGGCTTCAGCCCATCGGCCACCAAATTGCTGGGGTTGGAGTTATTTCAGGAATCATCTTAGTCAGCCTCCGTGTGCTGGTTACCTTGCCCCATAGCCACTAATTATGCCGTGGGTTCCCAAAAATGCAGGAAGGTTTGGGTGGCAGTCGGTTGCCTGCCACAGCAGCTTGGCCAAACCTTGCCCGGATCCAAATTCTTGAGCCATCCTGTGCTTTGCAAGGGCTGGCTCATGTCAATGGGGGCCACGCCCACTTCTTTGAACACCCTGGGAATCCTGGTAATGTTGGGTTGCCAACACACATCCACAGGTTTTAGAGGTGCCGGTGATACCATCAATGCTGAAGGTGTTACCGGTGAGAACCAGGGAACTTTCCTGCAGCAACCGAGCCGGTTATGTGCAGTAATGAGGACCTTGTCGGGTTTTGAGAGCTTTCAGATGATCTAGAGATCAGAGAGGAAAGCTTTGTGCCAGAGGTGGTTGCAAGAGTGTTCTTGTCTGCCCCCCCCCCATCTGTCCCCAGCATTGCTCAAGAGTAAACTAAGAGTTTTGGAACAGCTCCTTGGCTCTGTTATTCCGGATCAGTATTATCAGAACAACAATATTTACAGTACAATTATCTAGATAGCATTCAGAACAGTTCCCTACAAAATAAATTTAATGATCTCCACCAGCAATAGGGCATGTCTAAAACCTCTTCTCTTCTTGCTTGCTTACATTTGCCTGTTTATTTATTTATTTATTTAGACAAGCAGAAGAGCCTCCTTCCGTTTGAACTCAAGGCCAGTCTGAAAGCCCCTGAAGACTTCTTTGTTCCTAAATCACATGTTTAACGAGGCAGAAAGAAATGAGCATTACTTTATCGTATTTAATTTTGCTGGTTTTAAATATGGATGAATCCAATACCACTTTTATCCTGACCTCACACACTATTCTCTGGAATGGGGTCCTCCACATGTTGTAAGATCAGTGCAGCTGTCCATGTGGAAAAGGCCAACACCCCCCCCCCCAAAGACTCGGAACCTCCAAGGTTAGAAAAGTGCTTTGTGCATGGAAGGGTGACGTCCTCTCAGCTTTAAGCCCATAAATGCAACTGGACTGGATCTGCTTTCAGCCCCTCTCGATTCAAAGCAGAATTAATCTGCGGGAGGATAAAGCGATAAGGCTTGTCCTTAATTTTATATGGAATTAATTTAGCAATGCAACAACACTACCAAGAACACGGGTAGTGCTAATGAATGTCGTCTGCTGGTGCTGGCAGGAAGTTTTTCCTTTCATGCCAAGGGCTGGTGGTCTCCACCTCTTTCTCTTCCGGGCTCCCATTTGCTACTTTTTTACAGAAGTTTCCCTCAGACTGACTTTTTGGCTTTCTCTTTGCTGGAGTTGCGTCTCTGTTTAAATCCCCCCCCCAGCCTTTTCAAGTTCCCATCTGGTCAAGAAATGGTCAGAGCCAGCCACCCAAAGTGAAAAATGTTGCCCCCTGCAAGGACCCTTGGCTGACAATTTTTAAACAGAGATCCAGCATGAGTTCCACTTACTTCTGATCTTATTTCCTTTCAAGCATGCTTGCTGCAAGGCAGAAAAACTGAGTAAAACCAAATTATTATTTATGTAGCTCAGGAAGCTGATTTTTTAGCTGCTGTAATGATTAAAATTGCAACCAAAAGGGGAGGGGGACTCATTATAGAAGAACATTCCATTTAAACCACAGAGAAGCTCAGGGACTGGCAGGGAACACTCGGCAATACTGGAAATTCAATTCAGACTCAAAAAAGGCGACTCTTAAAAGAGGTGGACCCACCACTGAAGAGGTCCTGCCTTGGAGATCAGCTTCTTTGACCCTTTTTATTCTGCGTAGACAATATTGTAGCATAATATGAGAAAATAGGTGGAAATGCCTGTCCTCGTTACATAGAATGGAAGGGACGTTAGAGGTCATCTAGCCCAACCCCCCCTGCTCAAGACAGGAGCCTTACACCGTCCCAGTCAAAAGGACAATAGCCTCCTTGACCAGCTCCAAGAAAACCCAAAACTTGTCCAAGGGAAATTCAAAAGGAATTCTCAAGGGGTCTGAAAGTAGAATACAAAGCCAGAAGACTTTATTCTGGGAGAAGAAAAACTTTGAAAAAAGTTTGAGGGAGGGGGAGATCACCAGAGACAAGGTAGGCGTTTTCCAAATTTTTGACACACTGAGCCCCAAAGGTTTGCCATCACTGCTCCAGGCCTGGGGTGTGTGTGTGTGTGTGTGTGTGTGTGTGAACATTTTTTGTGTATGTGTGAGGGAGGGAGGGGGAGAAAGAGGGGATAGATGCAGGGCTTTATAATCATACACATTATGGAAGACATCAATTTGAGAAGCTCCTTCCATTTCCCAGGCTGACTTTTTCTATTATAAGTTTTTTGGGGCAGGCTCTTGTGCCCATAAATTTGGAAAAAACATCATGTGCCATGGTGCTGTGAACAAACACATGAATTTAAATGTATATTTAAATATACGCAGAAACGAAATTCCTTTTGTTTCTGAAAACACACCAGTCTACTCATATCCACAAGTTCCTGCAGTTTTCCTCCTTTGCAAAAAAACGCCCTTCCCCATTTCTGCTCCCGCCTCCAGTAAACACTCCCCAGCCAGGCCCCAATTTGCCCTTCGGGAAGATGCTCGGCTGCCTTTAAACAGCCTTGGCTAATCTTCCCACATCGGCTGCCTAGAGCTCCCCTCCAACGCCCTCCTGGCATGGCTTATCCGGGCAGGAGAGGCGGCTGAACGTGTTTGAATGGCAACTCCCAGGCCCTTCTAGACTCAGCCGTCTCCTCCAACCCTCTCTCCAAACAAAGCCGAAGGTCTCAACAGCTCTGCCCCAGAGCAGGAAAAGAAATTGCACATGCATTTAAAAATAAAGAAGAGGAGAAAGAAAGGAGGCAAACTGCAGCTGACAATAAAGGGAAGGGCGCGGCTGGGGGGTCCCTTGGTGGCTATGCTGTCTCTTCTTGGGCAGCAGGAGGGAGAGGTCCAGCTGGAGAGAGCAGGGCAGAGCAGGGCGCAGGAGCCATTCTGATTTCCCAAGGCCTACAGGGAGACGGCATCCTTTTTTCCTTACAAATAGCAAAGGCAGCATGTTTTATTCTCATTAAAAAGGTCTTTCTCTGCTGGACTGAGGTTTTTTTTAAAAAATATGCTGGGATATTGAACTTTTTACCAAAACAACTGGGCCCTTGGTAAAATTATAATGAAATATTTTAAAAAAACAGGAGCATCAACGATTAGTAAGCAAGCCAGAATATCAACTCTCAGCCCAACAGAATGGCCTGTGGGAAATCTTCAATTAATTGAAAAACTCCCTCTGCCATTGCCTTGTGTGTCTTCCAGGGCAGGGCTACCAACAGCACAGGAGCTACTGTATCCCCTTGACGAGCCTGGGGAATGTCCCCAAAATAGCCCCTCTTCCAAATGGCAGCAACTTCCTTACTCCCTACATACGCGCGCGCGTGTGTGTGTGTGTGTGTGTGTGTGTGTGTGTGTGTGTGTGTGAGAGAGAGAGAGAGAGAGAGAGAGAGAGAGAGAGAGAGAGAGAGTTGTAGGGCTGACTCCATCAGGAGAGCTCTGAACTACAATGTAAATTTCTTGATAAATTTGTAATAAAGATGCTTTGAAGTGCCCCGAGCCAAACTCAATTAATTTATTGGCTGGGCTCAGATTGTGGACTGCTATAATACCTGAATGGCTTCTTTGTTTAGACTTAACATGAAGTCAGAGTGACAAAACATGGCTTAGTCTGCTTTTTGC